GCAATCACATGTCTCATGATTCATTAATTATCACCATTAGACTGAAATGTATATACAGATATTCCTCGATTTAACCGAAAATTTATTTTCCAAGAATGGTTGCTTAATTCTAGAATTTTGTTACTATTTTAGTTTCACTGTCCTTAATTTTTATTCAGGAAATGTTGAATTTAATATTTAAAAACTAACTATAATATGATTCACTTAAATATTTTTTCCTTGGCACTACAGCCCCAGTGGGCCTAGGCCTACCTCCATGAACTTGTTCCTTCACTTCGGCTTTTCTAGATCTTACACATTCGGTAGGACTCCTTGGGCGCGTGATCAGCTCGTCGCAAGACCTCTGCCTGTACACAAACACAGAAAAACGCACACGCACAAACTAAACATCCATGCCCTGAGTGGGATTCGAACCCACGATCCCGGTTTCCAAACGAGCGAGAATAGTACATGATTTAGACCGCTCGGCTACCGTGACTGGCACTTAAATATTTACAAATCCTAATTTCCTTCTTTCAGAAAACTACTTTCAATAAATTTTCAGTCTGCACTAAAAATATAAACGCAAAAATCAGTACCAACCACCGTATATTTTTCTTATATACGGCTGACTTTATTTTCTTTAAATTCCACTCGAAATCGATTGTCCTTCAGAAGTTTGTATCTGGTGGCTGAATATAGACTCTACAACATGCATGTGCTACGTAATAATATGGTTCCCTGATGCGCGTAATTTTGTTTTCTGAAGACATTACTTATGAGTTGCCGTGCAGAGAAAGCCGAAGCTACAAGTTTCTACATAGTCTGAGAGATAACCGTAATAAAATCATATGCGTAACTAATGCGTTTTTATAACAGACAACATGGAGTCCAGCATCTCGCTTGAGGTATATCTATATATTTTGTGCTCAAAATATGATATTTGTGTCCTTGGTCTTAGACAATAAAAGTAAAGCGCCTTTGAAAGTATAATCCACTAAAATATTGTGGCATATCTGCTGGAAGCCAGAATTGCGAAGCCAGCATATAGCTCCGTTACTAGGGCACGACTCTGTAAAAACGCCCATTGCTAGGCAATGGCTCAGTAGCGATCAAGTAGTTAGCCCAAGAGACACAAAAGCAACAATAGAGGACGGTGTTTTCTAAGCGATCCACGTCGATAGCTTCGTCATGCAACAATAGAACTGTTGGGAGATGTGTCTTCTATGGAGTCCGTGCGGAGGCCGTATAACGGGGACCAGCCGCCAGTAGCCGAGAGAGGTTACCCGTGTGGAAGCGGGGTCGAATGCCTTCACCGTGACCCTACGAGTCGTAGGAGGCGACGAAAAGGGAAGTCTCAAATCTGAGACAGTAAAATATGATTGCGAGTCTGAAGGGACTCGGACCCGAGAAAAACTGCGTTGGCAAGTGCCAGTAGTATATAAAAAAGACAGGACGGAAAGTCGAGGGTTCAAGTCCCGATGAGGTGGTTATTTTCAATTGGCTTAATCCTTCCAGCCGCACTATGGCCCTGAGTTCGACTCATCTTCTAACAGAAATGAGTACCAGATATCTTCCTGTGAGGTAAGGGGAGTGTGACACTCAAGGCTGACAGACTTACTGCCATCTGTGAGCCGATTATCTAGAGAAAATGTGGGAACTTCGACGTCTCACAATCCTATGAACTTCCATAGCCTATTACAGAGCTAGCTTTACCTTTTTTTTAAACTTTTTTATTCCAGGTCAGCAGTTCCTACAAAACTGAGGCTTTAATTCCTGAAATAAGAAAGTCATCATCGCCGTGTAGAAGTGGTTTATAGGGGGCAAATTTCTTGTAGCTTTGACAAGATACTCAGTTCCAAAATATCGAATTTAATGCTTTAAGTGACATTCTTGATGTACTGTGTTACCTATTCATTCGTTCATTAGTCAAATGGAACTAAGAGTCGCAGTAGAAAGGTTAGAATTTCTGCCTCGTTTTGAGGCATTCCTATGTTTGGTCTCGTCTCGAAGACATTCTCCTCACTGATGTTTACAGTGAATTCTTTCAGTACCGTTAATAAAACGTTGAGATAGCATCTTAAGGCATGCTCATGCATGACGCTCCCGTTCATATCCTGCCAAATTCATCAACAAGTCCTTCTCCCACTTGACGTCATGTTCTATATCACAATTATGTAGTCCATAAAAACGTCTTTAAACACATTAATACACACTAATGAAATAGGTTTTTCTCTCCAGCCAGTTGCATTTCACAACCGGCGAAGTTTGCGAGTTTGGTATCACGATTAGATTGTTCAATGAGTCAAGTCTGTGACGTCACATCCACCATGTGAGTTAGCGGAGGCCAATATTTTTTTTTTCCGTAGGATATTTGATGACGATTTTAATATCAAGAATACATATCGTCGGATGGCAGGATAATATATGAATAAAAACAAAGTATAAGGGATTTATAAGGAAGTGAATATGTAATCACAGAATTTAACTGAGAAAAACCATGAAAACTCTCAGTCAGGATAACAGGCGACCCTTCCGAGATTCTGAGTACGTCCTGAAAACAAGTCCAGACCGTTACCTCTGGACCACCTTGTTCAATAGAAGGTTATTATATAGGTCATAAGAAGAAGCTGTTACCGTTTGTATTCTAATCATGACTTGTGCCATTTTTATGTGAGGAAAAAACATTCTAAATTTTTCTGACAATGTCGCATATCACTCGGGATTACTGGGTTCTTTGGACTTTGTCCATCGTCTGGTATTCTAAAGAACACAATTTTTCGGAACCTGGATCCATTTCCGTCCTCAGGTGGGGGGGGGGCAGAAGAGATTTGCTTTGTTGGGACCCTTAGAAAGTCCTCGTCAAAAGATTGTTGTTAGTTCATAGATTTACTGGGTTTTTGAACCTTTTCCATCGTCCTGTATTCTAGAAAATAGAAAACACTGTGTTTCGGAAACCGGATCTATTTCTGTCCTTAGGTTAGGGAGGAAGAGACTTACTCAGTTAGGGCCCTCACAGAGAGCCGATCTGAATCACGGAAATAGATCCGGATTCCGAAACATCCTGTTTTCTATTTTGTAGAATACCGGACGAGGTAAAAGTCCAAAACCAAGTAATTCTGTGTCATACACGATGGTCAGAACCCATTAGAATCTAATTGACGTTGGTTGCTTTTAATCAGACGAAGGCAACAGACCTGGTTTCCGAAAACGTCGTGCCCTTTGTAATCTTTACAACACCGGACGATGAGCAGAATCCAAAAACTATCAATCTTGAGAGTTACAGTGGACACGGACTACTATCTTGGGTTAGGGCACCGAGTTAGGATCCAGTGGCTGAAGCGAATCTTGTAATAATCTGTAAGTATACTGACAATCAGCTAGGTGGAACACAGGCAAATGGTGAGTCACCCTGTATATGACATGTGACTCGGACAACGGCGAATGTCCGACACAATACTAGTCTAATGAACCGACTGTCAACAGAAACATTGTTTTTATTTGATCGCAATGCTGCTACCAGAAGATTGGCCTTTCTAGGATTATTTTAGCTTGGCTATGTTCACACAGACTGCAGCTCTAGGCCATGAATATCTCTTTTCTTTTCATACGCAAGAATGCTAACAGTCGAAATGTACAGAAGAAATTCGCCTCGAAATAACGCATAAAAAAACAAAGCAGAAGTCATAATTGTATATGGAAATATTTAATTTTAATAACACTATTTATAAGCTAATTAAAAGTGGTCATTAAATCTAATCTCATAATACGCTTTTTATTTTTCATAAATATATTTTAAATCATTATTATCAGTGGACGTACAGAATGTTGAGGGGAATATTCGGACCGAAGGGAGAGGAAGTGACAAGAGGTTTGAGAAAACTACATAATGAGGAGCTTCATAATTTGTACTCTTCTCCAAGTATAATTAGAATTATCAAGTCAAGAAGGATGAGATGGGAAGGGCATGTAGTACGAAAGGGAGGAAGTGGAATGCATATAGGATATTGGTGGGAAAAGCAGAAGGAAAGAGACCACTGAAAGACCAAGACGTAGGCGGGTGAACAATATTAAAATGGGTCTTAGAGAGATAGAATTCGATGGTATGGATTGGATTGATATGGCTCAGGATAGGGACCAGTGGAGGGCTCTTGTGAACACAGTAATAAAACTTAGGGTTCTATAGGATGATGGGAATTTCTTGAGGAGTTGCACAATTGGCGGCTTCTCAAGAAGGGCTCAGCTCCATGAGTGAGATTATCAGTGGACGTAGTTCTACAAGAAAGGGAAGTAGACATTAACAAGATACAGAGAAGATGGATATCGATTCCTGTTTAAGATTATAAACAGTCTGCATAACAAATGACATACAAGAACAAAATGACGGTCGAAAGGAGCGTGACTATATCATAATTCATTCCTTTCGATTTCAAATGAATTTGTATTATACATATTATCTTCTGTATGAATCTATCCTAATTGGTAACAGATACAAAGCCCTATATTGCGCCAGCTTTTCTCGTCTTTTGTTAAAATGATGAAAATAAATTTCACATTTTCATAACAAATATACTGTACGTCACTTACAAATTTTTCAACATCCAAATTTGATGAAAGTGATACAGTTAGACGTAAACTTCATAAAATTTAGGGGCTGTCAACTGCTAATACGGATGAACAAATCTAGCTTCTCGAAATTTATAATACATCACCCAATAATAAATTTCATCAAAATCCATTCGCTGTTTTGTTCGTAGGCCTAAAAGATCCGACTGAATGATCAGACACGAGCTCCCATCGTACATTTATTTTGAACAATTTTTACAAAACAACACATACTAATCGTATTATTGATACAGGCAGGGAGAGTTCTTAATTATCATTCTGTACTTAAATTGCTTTGCAATAGATTCTACTGTAATGATGGTCCCTTCATTTTAGTTTTCAATATATTCGTCAAAATATGAAATTACAGCCTGTGTTAACGGAGAAATTAACAATTAACTTACTTATTTACTTACCAGAATTCAGATCAACAAATTTCTCGCTAGAAATCTCTTCTTCCCTTATCCGACATTCTTGACATAAAACGGCTTCAGAACACACAACGAGGGTAGTAAATACACATCTGTGACGTCTTTATATAAACTAGATTAAGATACTTTCAAAACAAGTTCACTCAGGCAAATGATAATGTTGGGGGAAACTAGTCTGAAGGCTCAACAATTGCAACTTGTCGCACTTGTAAGAGAATAGAATTGTTACCCCCGATTTTGTTTACGTAAAATTCCGGCGGATAGACGCAGTGGGTCGGTCACACCTCCTTTCAGATGCTGGGGTCCATATCCTAGGCAGTGAGCCAGCAGTAGCGAGGGTTCAGGCACCAGACACATCGATTCAGTACTCTCCTCTGGCTGGTGCACGAGAGCTCCCAACCGACTCGGAACGGACCTGCTTTTTTCGGCTCGCATCGGTACGGCTTGCCTGCTTCTGTTACAACAGTGAACTTCATATGTTGCTTAACCCTATACTTAACTAATGGTCCCTATTCTTAAGTTTACATATAACTTGTTTCTTACAGGTAACGTTTTATATAGAAAACCTAATATTAGAAGTTATCCTTTATGAAATAATTTCCTGTCAATGAATAAGAAATAAACTTTTCAAATGGAATTTTATTTGACTGAGTCATTTTTAGGATTTTTATGAATTTATTAAAAATATTATTTTAATTTTGATTCTTAATTTATAGATGGCTCTGGTAAGGAGATATATTTGCAAATAGCACCATAACAATGAATATATATATTCATGTTTCGTCACTAAAATGTACGATAAAATCACAACATAAAGAAAGTCAGCAAATTCTTAGAAATTTTCAAATATTTTGACAAGAGATAAACAGATCAATATTACATTCGGTACAGAGTTTAGAACAGACTAAATTCAAAGACTGTTCGCTGTCAAACATATCAGAATTCATACCATTCCGACTCTTGTGTAAGATTCTACAGATTGGCACTAGGTGTCTCTTCAATGATGGGTTCAAGACGTTTAAGCAGCAGTTTCTCAAATAGCTTAGACATAATCGGAAGTAATGAAATTGGTCGATATGATTCCACTTCACTTAGATTCTTACCAGGTTTCGGGATCATGATTACTTCAGCAGTTTTCCATGCATTTTGGACATGATTTAGTCGAATGCAAACATTGATTAACGTGGTCAATTTGACCAAGGCTTTTCTTTTAATGTTCTTGAGAATTTCACGTGTGATAAGATCAAATTCAGGTGCTTTTTTTCGGGCTGAGATTTGTTCTTATTTCTTCGGCAACTTCTTTAGGAGTAACCAGTGGAATCTTGTCCAGATAATCATTCGAGTTGAGAACTGATAATGTATCCGGTCTAGGATTTGGATGGAATCTTTTTTTAAGATATTGTGCAAATATATTTGCTTTCTCAAAATTATTGCGAGCCCATTTTCCATCCGTTTTTATGGATGGTACTTGAGTACATATATATATATATATATATATATATAAAGAAGTAAATCTATCGCTGTAAGAGACCGAAGAGATCCAGAAGGTTTTGAGACGTCGAGGTTCCCACATTTTCTAGACTGTACCTTATGGTAATACAGCTATGGGGAGATTCAGTTCGGTCAACGCTTGCTACCATTCAGTCCAGAACTTCCTATCTTCTCGTCTTCTCTCTAAAAACTTAACAATTAGACTATAAAAATTATGATTTTGCCTGTAGTTTTGTACGGTTGTCAAACTTGGTATCTGACATTAAGGGAGGAACATAGACTGAGGGTGTTTGAGAAGAGGGTGTTGAGGAGAATGTTTGGACCGAAGAGAGATGAAGTGACAGGAAGTCGGAAAAAACTACATAATGAGGAGCTTCATAACTTGTAATCTTCTCCAAGTATAATTAGAATGATCAAGTCAAGGAGGATGAGGTGGGCAGGGCATGTAGCACGAATGAGGGAGGCGAGGAATCCATATAGGATATTGGTGGGAAAGCCAGAAGGAAAGAACCACTGGGAAGACAAAGACATAGGTGGGTGGGCTATATTAAAATGGATCTTAGAGAGACAGAATGGTATGGTATGGATTGGATTGATCCGGCTCAGGATAGGGACCAGTGGAAGGCTCTTGTGACACGGGAATAAACATTCGGGTTCCATAAAATACTGAGAAGTTCTTGAGTACGTGGTAGGTGCACAATTGGCGGCTTCTCAAGAAGGGCTCAGCTCCGTGGAATTAGTTGGTTAGGCAGTCAGTTAGTCAGTTAGTTATTTAGTTAGTTAGATAGTTAGGCCACTACATCTTCCTCGCGCATCAGTTGTAATTCGTTATTCACTATCATCCAAACATTCGTGTCTACAGAGTACAGTGACAGTTAGTGAGAGCATTGTTAAATAAACTACAAAAAACATTACTTCCAAAACAAGGTAATAGGAAAACTTCAATATAAAGACCTCTTTGTGACGTACTGAACCTGAATGTACTAACCAGTGAACACAGGGTGGTTATCGTTGTTACTTCACGCTATTCTAACCCATATACTTAGAAGATTAATTACATCATTCACAAAAGCTCTCGAAACAAGGTAATCGCTAATTAGTTCCGTTAGTGACTGCCTACAAAATCGATCTGATATTCGGCTTAGTGCTGATGATACAACGGAACGCACAGAACACTAACCGGATACAACCTGTACATTGCCGGTCTCACAGCCAACCCATCGGACCTCCATACAAACAGAATCCCGGGATGCCATTGAATATCATGCAGTGAGCAATGTCCAAAATCCAACTCATGTTCCTCCACGACAAGGTGCTTTGTTGAGCACTGAAAATATTGTCTGCAACTCAAGAAATTTCGGTACGCATCCCGAAGATTCATGTCCTCAAAAAGATTCTCTTCTGCACTTCTTCATCAGATATCACTGCTATTGAGAAATATCGCTTTATTCTTTTTATATTTGTATCCTTTAATGTACACTTAAGTAGCTGTTAATATCGTTAAGAAGACTTTAGAATTTATTAATTTATACAGCCTGTATCATTATTTGTTGGACACAAAATTCCTGACGTACTTCCTCATATAAGAGTGCTATATTTTTGGAAATGACGTCACGTACTTTAATGAAGATATATTAAAACTTTGGAGAAACCTGCTGCTTCGACAAGGCACCATGCTCCATGCTTCACGTTTGCCACCGTAAGATTCCCAAATCTCTCTAATTGCTTCCTTAATTAGTGGCAGAGCTTGGCATCCGTCCATAAGAACATCGATACAGTTGTCTAAATATTTGTTAGATAAATCACTGCTTACTGTAATACGGCTCAGTCTTTCAGATAAGTACTAGATATAATGAAACCGAAAACAAATTAACACTTCAAAAATTCTCAGGGACGCAATATTGTAGCTGAAAAAGCTACGACATGGTGAGAAGGCAGGGAAGGAAATTGGAGTAAACGTAGGTAAACTCCGTCTATTTATTTCCAGATTTCTTTGCACCGAAGTTATTTCCAGTGCCTTAACTAATTAACTCCACGGAGCTGAGCCTTTCTGTAGAAGCCGCCAGTCCAACAATTTATGGAAACCGAAGGTTCATTAACGTATTCACATGAGCCCTCCACTGGACTCCATACCACTCCCTTCTATCTCTGTAACATGCATTTTAATGTTATTCACCCACCTACGTTTTTATCACCCTAGTGGTCCATTCCTTTATGGGTTTCCCTCCAAAATTCTATATGTATTCCACTTTGTCCAAGTTCGTGCTACATGCCCTGCTCATCTCACCCTCCTTGATTTCATCATTCTAATTATTTGGCTAAAAGTAAAAGTTATGACGCTGCTCATTAGTCAGTTTTCTCCACTTCCTGTAACCTCGTCTCTCTTCGGTCCAAATATTCTCCTCACTAACCTGTTCTCAAACATCCTCAGTCTATATTCCTATCTCATTATTAGAGACCAAGTTTCACACCCAAAAAGAACCACAGACAAAATTATAATATTTTATATTCTAATTTTCATATTTTTAGACAGCAGACGAAAAGATAAAATGTTCTGGGCTGAATGGTAGCAAACCTTACCCGAATTCGATCTCCTCTTAATTTCCTCTGGAATCATATTTTGATTTGTTATCATCGTTGCCAAATATCTGAACTGTGTCACATTTTCAAAAACATCTGTTAGCTATCTTTATGTCATGATTCTTCCCTACATTCTGGTGACGAGACAGCAACATATATTTAGTTTTCTCTGTTTACTTCTAACACCAATTAAAGTGTGTGTGTTTTCCTTCATGATATCTATATTAGCTCCCAGTAGATTCACATCATCAGCTTAGACCAGTAGATTATGTGCCCCATTTAATTTCAGTCCCACCTTGGTTTACGGGAATTTCCTAAGGGCATGTTCTAAAGCAAAGATGAAAAGCAATTTCGGTGTCTTACGACTTGATCGATACCTATCCCAGTAACCGTGCATGTATGTCAAAATTCCCTGAACTCCTATGTAAATATATCCTTCATAACGTGATCTTCATTCATCCCCACCCCATCCCGGTACTGGAGCATTTGTTTAATTCCGAACAGCCATTTCCACTCCTGTGCATAGGTTTGCCCCGATGGTTTAATCCTTTGTCACATTAGATGAAAAGAGTTTGTTGTTTCCAAACGATGTCAGGGGATAGCACAGCCAGTCAAACACAACCCATAAGCCTGGCTTTTATTGCAAATTGTAGTTTAAAATCAATGCACCACATAGCCACATTTTCCAGACACCTGGTGGTGGCAGCTCCAATCCCCACCCCCTTCTCGGAGAATCTGTGACATGTCCAAATGTCAATGTTTGTCTCCCGTTTCCTACATTATTATTGTCTAGTCTTTATAGAGAAAATAAAAGAGAACGCAGAGATAAGAGCGGAAAATATAAAGTGAAGGAAAAGGAATGAACATAAGTAAATACACAGAAAAGTTGGACGTGAAAAGCAAGAGAAACAAACTGAAGACCGGGAAGATAATACACGTACAATAAATATGAGAAGGAACATTTGGAACAGAAATGTTTACGGGAAATATAGAAATGGCAGGGATGGGACAAACAACACAAAAAGCAGCAAATTGAAACAAACATCAGCATTTTAGAATAAAAGAAAGAAGTGAAAGGAATGGAACAAAGAAACAAAGAATTGATAAATTATTAAGTTAATATTGCTTTTAGGCGGTAGTCATGGAATAATTTGATATCAACTAGCTGCAATCTGCCGACATGAAACTGGCACATAGAATGAAAGACTGTTCTAATTTCGATGGCTTTTTCATTGGAGAAATGAATAATTCTGTTGGTATTAAATATTAGTAAATTCATTTGAACAGGTAGAGGCCTTGCGACGAGCTGAT